TTTACCTCTGTGCTTGTTTTCTCAGAGATATCATAGAAAATGGCTTGTTTAGGAGAAAATCAGATACTCAAGGTTCCCCTTCAACTATTTTGTTTATTCAGTTTAGCATCTTAGTTCCAAAATAACCAATTATTTTGCACTTCTGGCTCCTATGAATGAATTTATCATCTTACTTTCTTGCCTGTAATTCATTACTATTTTATATCAGGTCACATGAATGGATTTTTTGGCCTTGGTACTGACACTCCATTAGTGTTGCCTAGTTATGTCCTTTGACCCTCTAGCGAAGTGATTGTTCCATCCTTGATTATATGACACTCTTAATAGCAGGCTTAAGGGTGTACGTGACCAGCATGGCTTTTTGTAGTCACCTTCTAGTCCAAATTTGCATTGGGTGGGGTTCATTTTCAAGTCCCAGATGTCTTAAACCTGATCTCACTCCTTCGAGGTGACACAAACTTTCACCTACTCCTTCCCAGTCTCCTTCTGACTTTCACCTAGCTCGTCTCCAGTGATCTGATAATTTCAGGGAGAGGAAATCTTCCTTTGTACCATAAGTCTGTGGAAAATTATAGAGAAAGAAGTAAGTCTTTGGAGTCAAATGGGATCTTTAGTCCAGCTACACCATTTTTGTTTGATATGTCAGGCAACATCTCTTGCCTGAAATCTCATCTTCTCTAAAAGTTGAGTCAACACCATTGACCTTATTTGGTTACTTGTCAAGGATAAACGAGCTACTGTGTGTGGCCCATTTCTGTATAAACAGCCCCGCTATCTATCTCTGGGTTCCTCCTCCCCTCCAATTTCCTTTGCTCCCCCGCACTGGGCCTTTCTTCCAGCTCCTCAGCAAGGCAGTGAGAACACAGCTCTCAAATAATTCACACTTTAGTATTAGATTCATAAGTGCAAGTCAATAACTTTAATTTATTCGAGGGGGTGTCAAAAGAAGGGAACAATGACCAGTAGGGCTCAGGGTTCTCATCCCCCTCCCCAGCAAGGCAGGAAGTCCTCTCCTGAAGATAAAGAGAGTGAGTGCCATGGGACAGCAGCCCCTGCAAAAAGGGATTGTGCATTGCATATCGCACAAAAGCTCCTCAGCTTCCCTACCCCCCACCCCTCCCCACACAAACATCCTTCCAGCTCTAGTTCCTTCTGCATATTTAAGGATATGAAATTTTTGTCACATGGCCCTTCACTCTATAGCTGGTCCTGGCCAGTGAACATGCTTTACTCTGTTTCTCATGCCACCAACGCTCTTTCTAGTTGTTGCTAAGTTATTTTTCTTACTAGTAGAATTTTGTCACCTTGGATATATCCGAGTGAAAAAGAATCATAATAGGCTAAATGAATAATTATTTCTTTCTCTACCTTAGTTTAAGGCTGTTCAGAGCTAAGGTTAAGAGTTGGTGACCCATCCTGTGTGTCCCTCATACTCCTTGATCTTTGAGAAAATATATACAGTTTCACATAACATTGGCAACAGCAAGAGAATTGAAACTGATTGATGAACTAAACTTGGACAATTAGAATAATCTCCTCCTCCCTTTCCCCTTGATAGCAGAGTTAATTCCCAGTATTAGCTGCAGAGTTGTTTCATTTTCCATTAAGTAGCTTTAAGGATGTAGTTGTTGGTGCTGATTAATGCATATTTGGAATGGGGGCCATTAAGTTGTTATTGTTGTCTGGAATGGTAACACCTCACCAAATCCTAATATGCGTCATTTCAGACCTCAATTTATTTTCCTTCACCATGTATCTCTTAGTGAAAGGTAGAAATGACCTTCTTTAGCTCTTCTCGTTTATGGCTCAGAGATGCCTGCAGCTCTGATGATGTAATCCATGGGTGTAATTATGTGTTACTACCCCTTATAGGGGAAGTGCTTTTCATTCTTGGGGGTGGGGGAGGGTAGACCTGTCTTTTCAGGAAAAATTATTGTGATTAATTGTGATTAATAACATACTTCACACTTAAGATTACAGGGTAATGAAAAGCAACCTTGATTCATTTAGGAAAGCCAGGAAGCATAGAATATGATTTTGCCAAATTGTAATAATTTTACCAAACACTTTCTTAGAAAGCTATGTCATAACACTATGTCACTGCAGCCTTGTGAAAAAGGCAGGCAGACTTTATTCAAAATTCTACATGAACCAACTATAATTCCCAGAAATGAAGTGGTTCTCCTAGGTAGCATTTTGCCTAAGTGAACCTCAAACTTGCCTTTTCTAACTTTGAATGTGATGATTTTCCACCAGCTGCTATTACTCCAGCAGCTACAGCAGGCATCTGTACATGCTCATAAATAAAGATTGATTTATTTATGCATACAGAACTGGGGTACAGACAAGAGATGAAGGGGAGTGGATGGTGAGAGGATTCACCAGAGAGAGTACAGAGCAGAACAGGCAGATCAATGAAGTACACTACTGAGGGGAGCAGCGGGCGGGTCAGGAGAGGTCTGCTGCGCCATGTGGGTCACCTCCAGGGCTGGGGATCAAACTGGCACTGAAGTGGCTGTGGCTCCTTGCAGTGCTGGCCTTTAACCCATTGCGCCACCAGGGAGGGCTTAGTTCTAATGTAGTTAAATTATTCAGCTAGCTTAGTTTTTACAAGACAACTATAAAATCATCTAAATTCAACTTTAGTTCTCTCTTGCTCAATTTATCCCACCCATTATTAGTTTATGTGTTTATAAACTGGCAAAATTATCTTCAGAAAAAATATATTTGAGGAAAGATATACAAGCCACTTAAAGAAGTACTAGAATTGAATATTATCTTTGTACTAAGTACTACTTGAGTTCTTGAAAGCATCTACGGAGAGACTGCTTTCTGGCAAGATGCAAAGGAACCACCATAAATCTACTTGGTTCTTATGCAATGGTGTGTTAGTCAGGACTCTTCAGAGAAATAGAGCGAGTGGGATATATATCTACATATATGAAGACATTTACATTAAAATATGTATACAGGCCCTCCCTGGTGGTGCAGCAGGTTAAAACACAGCGCTAAGAAGCTTAAGCCACTTTCCGCATGAGTTCGATCCCCGCCTGCCCCGGAGTGAACCACATGGCGCGGCAGACCTCTCCTGACCCCCCTACTGCTCCCCTCAGCAGTGTACTTCGTCAGTCTGCCTGTTCTGCTCCCCACTGTGTCTCTGGTGAATCCTCTCACCGCCTTTAAGCTTCTGACCTGTACCCCAGTTATTTATGCATACATAAATAAAATCTTTAAAATATACATATATGTATAAATACATATATAATGAAGACATTCATTGCAAAAAATAAAATTCTCATATGGTTTTAGAGGCCGAGAAGTGCCATCACCTCCCAGCTGGAGACCCAGGAAGGTGGCAGTGACATTGCGCTGGACTCCAGGGAACCTGTGTCTGTAGTTCCCCATTCAGGACTTTAAGTCAGAAACCCAGGAGCACCAGGGGCAGGAGAACAGTATCCCAGTCCAATCCATCAGTCAGAAAGGTCAGCATTTTCCTTCCGCCAAGTCTTTGCTCCGCCCGGTCTTCAGTGGCTGAGATACGCCCTTCCACCTTGGGGAGGCAAATGGCTCTCCCAAGTCCACTGACCCAATCACTAACTTCACAGACATGCTAGATGATGTCGAAGCCATGATGCTGAGCCACCCTGTGAGCCAGCCAGGTTAGCACAGAGAATTAACCGGCAGAGATGGGGAGTGACAACTTCCAGAAGTTGCCGGCCTTAGTGTGAGCAGAAGCACCTGAGGAGCTTGTGAGGTTTCAGGTTCAATTGCCTTTTGCTGGTGCTTCTGAGGGGAGAGGCAAGGGTCTGCACACCAGTAAGGACTTGTAGCACGTATTGCACTCAAATTAATGGAGAAAGAATCATGGTCGTTGCCTGGGGCACAGAAGGTACAGTGTTTAAGCTTGGGGTAAAGGGAAATTTCTAGAGGTGGATGGACAGCAGAGATATTTGTGCAGCATTGTGAATGCACTTAATGTTATTGACTTATGATTGAAACAAGTAAAAGAGTCAACATTTTTATTTACATTAAATTACAAACCAGAACTTCTCGTGCAAATGGCAGCCATTTTGCACAGCTATGGGCTGGTGTTTGCTTCCTAACACTTGGTGAGGAAAGTAGATGCTTTGCGTCTAAAATGTCATCATTTGTGCTCAATGATGGATTAATATTGCACGTGAATGTGTCACTTGATGCCAAAACTAAAATAAGGTACTAAATGAACGGATTTATTATAACAGTCAGATTTGCTTTCTGAGGAGAAAATAGATTTCTTGTGTATCTATCCTGGGCAAATGAAGGAAAACGTCAGAGCTAGTCACTGCGTTGCTGGAAACAACCAAAACAGGTCTCTTGTCGGTACCCAGGAAACCAATCTCTCAGTCACAAGAACTGTGTATATTCTATGAGGAATTTACTCAGGATGACCATCAAGAGACTCAGGGGCACAGACACCCCACACTGGCTCCCCTAAGGGCAGGGGTGCGGGACGCTTCAGTGGCAAAGGAAGGTGAGCGCAGGCCGGCATCACGTTCCCAGCTCCAACGAGGTGCTGCTGTCCAGGCAACGGCAGTCAAGGTGCTGGGCTTTGCCAGCAGTCAGCAGACGCTTGCTTCCGATGCCACTGGCAACGCCAGAGGGGCGCAGAGAATTGCACCAGGGATGGGACACAATTCGCTCCCCAGATTCCCTGAATGCAGGTGGAGCCAGTCGACCTCATGAGGAGGAAGTAGAGAGTGCAGTTAGCAGTGAGTTTAAAAGTTAGTTCATATGTTAATTTAAAAAAAAGTTCAAAAGAGGGAATGTAATAAGGTGGCTAGAGTTTACTTATGCTTGTTCCTACTTTTTTAGCTTAGAGGAGTTTTTGTTGTTGCTGCAAAATGGAGGAGGTCTTGGCGACACACTATTGCTGCTCTACCCGTTCTGAAATGGGGCCGCTGGGTCTGGCCTTCTCTTGCCTTTGCAATAAAAATGTATAGTGATACTCATGCTCTTTTCAGGATAGGGTGTGGGCCAATGTGGGGAAGAGCCTGAACTGCATTATTGCTATGGTGGACAAGCTGATCGAGAGCAACGGCAAGGGAGAAGACAGCGGCAGCGGCAAAGATGGAGAAAAGGAGCCTTCCCTGGTGGGCGCCGTCACGCCTCATCCAGAGGGTAAGCCATCAGCTTTTTCTCTGACCGAGTAAACACGATGGGGAATTCATGGTAAAGTGAGCGAGAAAAAGTGGAGGCAACAGGCCTGTGATGACAACTGACAGTGGCTTCCCCCCGCCCCTGGTGGGTGACGGAGGCTGTTTGTCAAATTGCATCTCGTTGTGTTTTCAGAACTGCTTGCTGCGCTCTTTTTTTTTTTTTTTCTTTTACTGCATAAAATCCTTGAAAGAAAAGTGTTCACTTTTAAAGAATTTGACACAGCTTTATCTAGTTATACACTCCTCCAAAGTTTATTAGGAAGGAAACAGGCATCTGTGCTTCAAACTCTGAGCAACCGTGAGGGATTTCAGGACCCACTAACTCATAATGGCTCCTGAAAACAATGCACTTGACAAAATGCTTCGTATCTTTTTCTGAGGAAATGTTTGTGAGTTATCTCAAAAAAAAAGCATATGTTTCATTTCATCTAGGAGGGATATGTGCATTGATCGAAAGACATATTAGGAAGGGTAGATTTTCGTGCATGCATGTGTGCATGTGTGCATGTGAGCAAATACATCTGGACACACATGAGCGATAGAAACTGTAGACACTCTCAGATACCTTGTAACAAGGCTGGCTAGAAACATGGTAGTCAGAATTTTAGCTTAACTGTGTCCCTCTAAATGGCCTTGTGGTTATAATTTCTTACTAATCATTTTTGACAACAAAAATGTAGACACCACATCTTTATGGTAGTGAGAGCTTATGTTAGGATTGTCACAGACTTTTCGCTGAGTATCTCAAAATGTTGGAAGAGAATAAACAGTGTTGCCCCACCCTCTCCTTAAGAAATCTGCTTTTCCTTTTACTTTAAGAAAATATGGGCGTGTAGAGTTTTAAATTTATGTTTCCCAATTTGTTTTCCTGGTTTTTCATTACTCATATTTTCATCAGGAATTTAATTATGTGAAACATAAATCTTTCATCACTTGATTAACAGCAGAACCATTTCTAAGCCATATTTGTAAATGATGACTTTATAAGGTTTTTGGATTATAAATTGTCCCTCTATAGTCTATACCATGCACATAGGTGCAAAATTTACACGGATGTCCTTTTCCTTCACACCTACTTAGCCTAACTACATATAGGGATTTTCTTTTTAAATAATACCAGTTTTATTAGCTAATGAATCTAGCCCAGCTTCAGAGCTTTACATGAATCAAAATGAAGGCTTGTCATAGCTTATGTCATAAAGAAATAGCATGCTTCAATTTTCTTTAATTGAACATTTATTGGCTATCAATTCTGAGCCAGACCCCGTGCTATGCTCTGGAAAATGAGGTGAAGAGGCAGCATTCATTTTAGTGACTTACTCTGGCCATTGATGAGTTTTCAAAACCTAGTATTTTTCACCAAAAAAATAAGAAAGGGATACTGGATTATGCTACTTTTTTTTTTTTTTTTTGCTTAGATGGTCCAAAAATTTTTCATGGAAGAGCGCAGAGTTCCAAACTATTTGCAAGGATGCATTGGATCACTGCATTTTCCTGGAAGATTATTATCTTCAATCAAAATTGCATTTTAAAAAGTCAAAATATCTCATACATAAATTGTCTGTAGGATTATAGGAATCACTTTTTATTCTGCTGTGGGTCTTGTTTGGAGATGGCCTAAAACCCACACAAGTTGCCACCAACGTGGGATCCATGCTGGATCAGCTGGCACAGCCCAGTCATAACTCAGTGCCACAGGCATTTGATTGCGTTTCTTTCTCTTCATTATTCATCTGTGGTTCATCCATTCTTTTTTGCAATAAATACGTTTGGGGGCTAAGACACGACTTAAGTGTCTAAAAATGAAATAGATACTTCGGACTGAAAAATTGTTAAATTACAGTCAACTCAGTTCAAAATTCAAATTTTTAAGACCGAATCGCGTCACAGACAATTGTGCAGAGTGCATGTTTGGGGGGGATATTGGTCCGTAGGAAAGGTGCGAACCATGCAGAAATGTGGTTACAAGTGGAAGTGTGTCCCAGTGTCTTCAAGTGTCTGAGGAAACTCCTGCCTACTCGGAAACCTATTTTTATTCTTTTACAAAACATTGCTCATTTCATTACAAAATAGCACATTATTAATTATAATGTGTTTTATGGATGTTTCTTCATAGTAGAGAAAAAGCAGTTCTAATTTCTATCCTGACTTTTATTACCCAACGCAATACAGCAGAGAAAGTGCTAGCCCTGTTTCGGACCATTGCAAAGCGCATGAGTAGCCCAAACTGCAGGCATCTGCCTGTGCTGCGTCAACCCTGCTTCGGGTACAGGCACATGAGAGATACACGTGCCCCAGCTTACCTACACCTTAAATTTTTATCAGAAAAAAAAAATAGGATTTAGAAAAATTGGAAAGAGAAACAAGTAGGATTACGTATGATTTTAATTTTCTTATTTGAGTCAGACATAACCATTTTGAACATAGTTCTCTCTATCACACTCACATACTTTCTCTCTCTCCTGTAACCAAACTGAAGTACATGCTATAAATACACACACTTCCTGTATCATACATATCATTAAGTTCTGCATATTTTCTGATGTAAGTTCTCTGGAAATGAGTAAGTTATTCATCAAAGAAGCCACTATTTTAAGTTTTTAATGATAATAACAATGCTACAAGTTACATAGAAGCGTCTGAATGTCTCAGTCTCTCACTGCACTTCAGGGGGTTTCCCTACATGAGATGCGAGGTGTGGAATTGCCTTCTCAGAGTTCTCCCTTCCCACATATTTTCTTAAGCTATTATTTGTTTACATCAGTGTGGACTCATGAATACTGATTTTGTGCTCTTGTTCTGTAATTATTTGTTTGGGGCTCAGGTAGGCCCTGGGGGCTCCTTCTGGCTGGCCACAGGGACCTTCTGTAGTCCCACCGTGGCCTTCGCTCCCATCCTGCCTGCTGATCGTCCCCTCTCCATGCCGGCCAGTTCCGCAGGCCTCCAGGAGCATAAGTATTTTCTCTTCCCCAATCTTAGGTTTAACTATTTTTTCCTAGAACCTGACTTCTTCTTTGTCTTCTTATGTGTGTGTGTGTGTGTGTGTGTGTGTGTGTGTGTGTGTGTGTATAGTATTTAGCAAGCTACATTTGTGTGGGTAGGAACAATTTGATGACAATAGATGTTCTCAGCAGCAACAACTGCAGGCACCGTTTTAACTGACATCTTTCCAGTCTTAAATATTTTCCCTGATTTCATACCAATTTGGATGGAAAATATATTGTAATCTCTGGCTGTTTGTGAAGTTTGACATTATATAACAACGCTCTATTTCAAAATATTATTCTGAATAATAAAATTCACTTCTTGAGTAGCTCTAGATTTACCCTTAACGCATGACGTGGAGAGATTGTTACATCCTTTTGTTTTAACAACGAATTAATGAATTGATTCAGTGAGTGACCTGTGTCACCTGCAATTTACCATAATGTGTTATGTGATACTGATGGGCATTTCTAGCCACATTGTTTATATATTTTACTGTTCACTTTGAACAATGCATGCTCTCTCCTTTCTATTTTGGTCAATTTCTGGAATTTTTCATTCTGTTCATGTTTTGATGATTGGATTTTATATTAGGATACTTCTTGAAATCTCATAGCATAGGTCAAGCCTACATAGTTTCTCCTTGTTCAAGCCTACATAGTTTCTCCTTGTTCACCATCATCTTTTTATTTTTACATCTTAGTTGCAATTTATATTTCTTTCACTATATATGTATGTATACATATATACATGCATAATTACGTATTTGATTTTCTATAACTTGCAGATAATTCTACTTTAAAGTTTCAGATTCCTCTTTCCACAAGTATGCTGATTTACTCATGCTTTAAATCTTTAGTTTAGAAGGTTTTTTGTACCTTTTGAAGGTTTTTGTTTCTTTTAGAGCTAGGATTTTACAATATGTCTATAAATAGATTTTCAGGTGAACATAGAGTACTAAGACTTTCTCTATTGCACTCCACACAAATAATAAAATAGCAAACTTCCATATATGTGTGTGTGTGTATGTACACAGACACATTTACGTTCATCTGACTGCACATACATACATGAATGTATTTGTATATGTATATATTTGCCCTTTTCTGAATTATCAAGATCGCTGATTGATTTTTCAGTACATTTAAACATACTAATGAGTATTTACAATAGCACAGGCCTTCATTCCCATAATAAATTGAAGGCCCAAGGGTCAAACCAGTGTATATTAGAATCTTAGATTTTGATATCTCCTTAAAGATTATGCAATTAAACTTCCTAAAGTATATAAAAAAGCATACCTACAGTATCTCTGCCAATTTTTGCCATACCTACGATACACATTTCCACTCTAGAAAACAATGTGTACTTCCTAGACTGGCATACTCCAGATGTAGATCTAAATGTATTTCCTTTGATTTATTCACTGGCCAAGATCTAATTCTTTGCAATAAGCAGAGCACATTTATTTTCCTTGTCTACATTATAGCCAAAATCTTACCTGAGAGCAACCATCATGCCTTTTTGTCACTTTTTAAGCCATTTTTCAAAGGAATAGCTTCAGAGCAGCCCAGAACAACCACCTCCCTGCTTTTAGGTACTCTTCTTCTGTTAGTAATATCTAAGTCCTAGCTGTTTTGACAACCACATTTTATGAGTAAATCTGTTGTTTCCCATTCACCTTGCTAAATTTGACCTATCCTCAGGCTTCTCATGAGATAGTATTATTTAAGCCCAATGATGTGCTAGACATTGTGAAGTATTAGGGGTATGAGGCAATTAAGACATGGTCTATCTCAGTTCTGCAGAAGAGATTGATGCCTACGCCCATGACTGCAGGATAATACACTGTGAGCACATGCTGATAAATACGGGCTCCTTTCATCCATCTTCTCTACTGTCCTACTCAGGTTTATTTTATTCACATTTTAGAAACATATCTTGCCCATTCATAGAAGTAATAGATAAAAATGATGG